CTTTTATAATGAAGAAAAAACATTCTTCCTCTTCTTCTTCTTGTTCTTCTTCTTCTTCTTCTTTCTTCTTTCCATTTGCCAGAGCTGCTTGCCCTGGCTGGAGAAAGACAGGCACAAAGAGAGAGGGAAAGTGAGAAAGCAGGGAAGAACCGCTGTAACAAAACAATGACTCTGCAGGGCCTCTTTGTTCTCCATCTCGGAACTTCATTTGTGTCGCAGACTCCTCAAGAATGTGATGAGAATCCTGAATCTCCTCCCTGAAAGTGCAAATGCGCATCATCAGATTTTTACCAGTAATTCCTCAGGATCCACGACCTAGGGGTTCATAGGTTCCCGAGCTGAGAACCATTCATCCTCAATCTGAGTGGATTCAGCCGGCTCCTTACAGCGGTGCCAGGGTCCCCAGCCTTTCCCTCCAGCCCTTCAGCCCTCCCCAGAGCAGGCGAGGCCTGTGCTCAGTGTATCCATGGCCCCAGGCAGCCACTTTGAAGTCCCCAGTTGAGTCTCTCAGGACTACGTTAACAACTGAGTTGTGTGGGTGGCGAAGATTACTGTGTTCCAGGAAATACTCTGCCCTCAAAGCCAGGGCACTGAGAGTGCAATATGCAGGCCCCTTCTGAAGCTTCCTAATGAGCCTTGGCCACTTGCTGCTCCCCCTCCCCCTCCCGGGACTGAGGAGTGTTTGCTCAGATGACTGTTACCCGGATGCAGCCTTGAGACTTCGAAAATGAATGGAAGTAATCATCACCGAGAAGAGTAAAATGATGAGAGCCGGAAGTGATGGCTGGGGACTAGGAAAATCACGATTGTTGGGTTGGGTTAGCGTCTGGGCTGGGAATTCCGAGATGTGGTGGTGGGAAGGGAGACGGTCATAGACCTGCACACCATAGTCCCGTGGGTCCCTAGAGGTGAACCTTGGAGGAAGGTCAGGGGCCTGTGTGTGCGTGCACGTGGGCTGAGCAGAAGGACGTTAGGGCCGATTTGTGAAGACTTGTATCTCTTGCTTGTGCATTGAAAGCTAGCTGATTGTATGGCCAATGGAAAGGCTGCAACGGTTTCTAAACCAAAAAGTGATAAGATGTGAGTGGACTTGGAGGAAGATAAGTAGAGCTGGGGGCTTGGAAGACCAGATGGTGGTGCAGCAGTAAAATGAGGCAGTCTGCGAGGCTGACCCACATGGGAAGTTTCTGGGTTCTCATCCAACGACCTCCCTGAGTACACTGGGCATGTATGCGCCCATGACTCAAGGCTGGCTGAAGCCGGGAGTAGATCAGTGTAAGACTTGGTTGAGTGGGCTGGCTCCATAATGTAGTGGTTAAGCCTCATATATTGCAAGATGGATCCCACAAGGTTGACCACAGTTCAAATCCTGGTCCTGGCAGCTTGAAAACACACCAAGTGCATGCATGTGGGTGCCCAAAAATCCCAGTGGGAAGCAATGGAGGACTGGGCTCATTGGAGAATGCTTTCTCCTTCTCCCACTCTTTCTCTCTCTGGGGAGTGCCCTCAGATAATTTAAAAAAAAAAAAAACCTGCTGGGAGTGCTATCTCTCTGTCACCTTGTGGAAGAAATTAATTACAACAGACTTTTTAAAAAGAACAAAAGAGATGAGAGATTAGAGTCCTAGAGAGGAGGCAGTTGGAGTGACAGGACAGGAACTGAGGGAGTGGGGATAGAGACATGTTTGAGTTGTAGAATTCAGAGTATCTAGGGAGAGGTGGGATTGGATGGGGAGGGTGGAGGAGCCCGAGTCCATAAGTAAGGCTCTGAGGTGGCTAGCCTGGAGACTGGACAACTCTGACTTCATCACCCAGACCACAAATGCATGAGGCAGAGCTCAGTGGGAGGACAGAATGAGCCGTTGTTGTCTTGTTCATCTGGGCAGCCCTAAGATATCCCAGTAGGAATGTCAGGCAGGCATTAGGAAATAGAGACCCGCTAGCTACTGCCCATGTGATCAGATGATGTGGTCGCTGAAATGAACATGAGATTTGGATGCTTTTATTTATTAATTTATTTTTCGCCAGAAAGACAGGAAGAGACAGAGAGACAGAAAGAAAGAAATCACCCCCTCAGGGGGGGATGGCCACGCAGCAATCCCTTCTCCTCCATTATCCTCTCGGGATCTTGGGCACGCACTCACACGCGCTTGGTGTGAGTTGAAGCCACCGGGTCCGGGACTAGAACTGTGGTTGACGACGTGGGAGTCCAGCGACCAGTCATTACGCCAACTGCTGGTCCTGAGATTTGGCTGCTTTTATAGCTGTGTAGAATTTAGGCAGAGGTAATCATCTACTATTCGCCAATCAGGTCTTATGGAGCGTGCTCTTCTCTGGTATCGCTAACAGTGGGGAGGGAGTGGCCATATTTTAAGACTGACTTTTTTTTTTTTTTTTTTGGGGGACGGTTTTGCCACAGGGCCTTGTGCGCTG